TGGGCTGGAGCCTTGCTGCATCCCGGGCTCCTCCGAGATGCTTCTGTGCCCTGGGGCTGGGGGGACATCCAGGGGAAACTGAGACGGCCCCAGAGAGTCCCACGGGAGGGAAGAGAGGGCTTTAGGTTCCCTTCGGTCCCTGAGCGGGGCTGGCGGGGGCTGCAGAAGGAAGGGGCAGTTGGCATCAAACATGGGCAAGGCGCTGCAAAGTAAGGGACTAAAATTAGGCACCGAGATAAATGGCCAGAGGTGCTGAGCCACCGCAGACACTGTCAGCACAGCCATCCCCACCGGGGTGCCACCGCCGTGGCCATGCACCACCAGCTGCAAAAGCTGCCCCACCGTAACCCTGGGCTGGCCGGGAAGGGGCCGTGCAGGGCCGCCACACACAGGCAGCTCCTGCCCCCTTCCCTGCCCCCAAATTCAGGCGGGTGCAGACTGTTCCCGGGGCAGAGGAAAGGTTCCAAGACGGTTTGATTGCTGAGTGCAGGTGGAGGCGAGCGGAGCAGGACCCTGCGCAGGGGGCCCAAGACGGACACATCCAACCTTGAAACAAGAGGCAGCCCTGGCGGGGAGGATCAGGCAGAGCTGGCACGGTGAGGGAGGGCTTGGGCTCTAAAAGGAGATTAGCTCGGGTTCTTAAGAGGTGATTTAATCTGGTTTACAGGGAAAAAATTCAGGGGATGCAGCTGAGAGGTGATACAGGCTTTAGTGAGCCTGGGGGAAATGGAGGCACAGTGGGGACCAAGGCTGGCTGGGTCTGGAGGGTCCCTGGGTAGACCTGGGAGGCCCCAGAACCAGCCTGGTGCTGGTGTGAGAAGGGCCAACGAACCTCCACCTGCGCCCGTGGAGCAGGGCACAAGGGACAACCTGCAGCAGGAGAGGGGCAAGAGCGGTGGGACACGGTGGGGATGGTGGGGACGGTGGGACATGGTGGGGACGGTGTGCGCCCCAGAGCCCCTGTGCCCAGCTGCCTGGCCAGCCCCACGCATGCCCTCCCTGCTCCCCACAGCAGGCACTGACGCACTCGGGGGACCTGGGAGAAGAGCAGGAGAAAATCATTAGTGGGGTGGAGCGACAGATTCAGGGCAAGGGATTAGAGGAGCTAAATCGGGCTCGTGCGAGCAAGGGGGAATGCTGAGCTGGTGCAGGAGGAGCTGTCGGGGCCCAGCGTGGAGCTGGGCAGTATGGAGCCCCCCCACCCCACCAGCAGTGACCTGATCCACCTTGGGGAGAGCCGATGCTGGCCCCACAGAGAGCTGCAGCCTGGCCTGCGCACCGGGGAGAGAAGGTGGAGGACCGGGGCTCTGTGCCCAGCGGAGACCATGATCCAGCAGAGATGAACGGAGCAAGGGCACCCCAATACCTCCAGACACAGGGGGCTGGGACTCCAAGCCCAGAGAAAGACCTCATCCTGCCCAGGGACCTTGCACACATCCCCCAGGGCTCACAGGACCCCCCCAGGGAACACGGATGGCGTTTCCCTGCCCAGCACAGGGATGGCGCAGACACCATTGGAACTTCCATGTCCCCTGGAGGTGTGGGTCCCGGCAGGGAGTGTGGGGAGCCCCTGAGCAGCCGGTGAGGCCGGTGAGCCACGACGCACATCCTGGCAGGGTGTCAGGGCAAGCGGGTGCAGAGTGGTGGCACGGCTCTGCCATCTCACATGATGACCTGCCTCACCATTTGGCTGCTGGCATGGAGAAAATGGCCTTGGGGGAACAACACGCAAAGTGCCAGCACCCTGCAATGGAGCCAGGCAATGGGGTTGGACCCTCCACCACATCCCATCACCCCCGCACCAGCACCCCTCTCCAGCACCCGGCAGGACATGGTGCTCCCTGGGCACTGCCGCGGCTCACCGTGGAGACCCCCAGGGCAGGGCCAAAGCCAAACCAGGGGCTGCCGTGCTCCTCACCCAGCCCGGTGCCCTGGAGCCAGCGTGGCTCCAGAGGCATCTCTGCCCCAGGGCTGGATTTTTGGGCGGCTGTTTACTCGATGGCAGTGCACCCACTGCCAAGAGCCCGTCGGGAGGAGCGCCTGGGGCAGGGTGACATTCACCCTGCGCATTAGGCAATCCTGGCTGCTCCGTCCCTCCCTCAGCTGCTCCAGAAAGGCGGCAGCGAGGGCCGGCGGCTGGGAATCAGGAGCAGGGACGAGTGCGTCAGCACAACGGGAACGGGCACCTGGGGAAATCAGGCGGTGCCGCATCGCTGGGCAGAGGTAGGGGGGCCCGGGCCGGCGGTGCCACTGAGAGGTGCAGCTCCATGCTGGAGTGTGAGAACTGTGTGACCCCCCTTCTGTCGGCCCTCCCGGACAGGCTGCTCCCGCCCCGTGGGGCAGCGCATGTCCCCCACTCTCTCTGCACACACAGCGCCCATGCATCCGACTGCGCCATGCCACGGTCCCCAAAAGGGGTGACCCCGCGCAGACCCACTGCAGGGCAGGACCCCTCCTGAACGCTTCCCTGTTCCCCCAGTCCCCCCACCAGCCCCACGAGCAGCACATACACCTTCCTCCATCCTCCAAACGCTGCCTCTCCCGC